TCCCATGCAATGTGACAGGCTTGGGGTACAGTGGCTGGCAAGATGTGTGGTGGAAAAGTATATAAGTGCTAGTCAACAGCTGGTTGAACCAGGGAGGTGGTGGATCACTGTCCATGGAGGTGTTCAAGAACTGTGTGGATGTGGCACTGAAGGATGTGGTTTGGCAGGCACGGTAGGGATAGGCTTATGCTGAGACATGATGATCTTAGAGAACTTTTCCAATCTTAAGGATTCAGTGACTCATGTGGTTTCTCTTGTGCCGAAGCTTCACTTCCGTCATGTTCTCTGCAAGTCTGTTTTTGGCTTATTAACTGCAGGAAGATATTAGCTACATATTTATCTGCTTCTACCCAAAAAGTAAAAATAATAAAAAATAAAAAGCTACATCATACAATGCTACAATTACATTTTGTAACTAATTAGAGCCTTGCCCACACAATGTCTTCCATCCTGAAAGTTTTGCTAACATTTTTCAGAGCCAAATAGAAAATGAAGACAAAAAATGTTTTCGCTCAGATAATTTATCTTTTCTTTGCAGAAATTGTTAATTACAGTCACAAAAAAATAAGATATCTTTTGTCCCCCTAAGACATCCTGGAAAAAAATATCATGCTAATTTAGCAGATAAGCTGAATTCAACAAGTTTCTACTCATTTTAGATTTTCTTCAGATGTTCTGCAGGCAATTTCCCCTCATATTTCCTGGAAGACATAGGGCATCTATCTATGTAAATGGAACGTTTTGCAAACTGTGGATCCCCCCCCTGGGAGGATCAGACTTCCCAGTGCTTCCTGGATGGATGGCTATGTACATACCACTGAGATCCACCTGGAGTTTCCAGGGCTGACTGCTCCTGCATCTTCCGTCTAACCCAGTGAAGGACTTGAGAAGGGGAAAAGATCTGACAGACTGCAGCACCCATCCTTTTCATTGCCACATCAGATGTTTTTCAGCTAGCAGGGCTGATGGCCATGTACAGGGCTGTGGTTCCCAGGCAGAGAGACAAATTACCCTTTGGGGACTGCATTTCCCTTTCCAGTCTAACAGCCAGTTCTGGCACTTCTCTCTTCTGGGCTCAATTTCATGATACAGGCATGGTGCAAGCGCCAAACCACCAGTTAAATGGGTGAGTGATGGACTGATCAGGATGAGACATTCCTTCTGGTGACAGGAAATCAGTCAAATTCACTCAGACAATTTGAACTTTACCACTGAGGTGTGCTCTCTACTTCTGCTTCCCAAGCTGCCATATGATGACAACGTGATTCTGTCACCCTTCTGAAGTGCTCCATAAACACAGTATTTTCTATTTGCATTAAATATGGGTTTTCTATTTACTGTGTTTCATTAGATGATGCTTTCTTTTTTACAATCTTTTTATTTTTTCCTCCTAATGTTATGAATTAATATCTGAATAATTATGTTCATGCTATTCTGTTAAAATCTTATTCTCATCTTTTAAACAGTTCCTTATTCTTGTCTTCTAAATAGATAATCCTGTGATTGCATGCTTATAAAAATACTTTCAAATTAGGGAAAGGGATTTGCAAACTGTCCTTTAACTCTTTCTAGCTTGGCTTCAAATGACCCTCTGCTGTATTTCTGAAAGGCTGAGACCTATTGCAATTCAGCATGTACATTCTCTTTATCTCCTGCCCAAGAAATTCATTTTTTTTTTTTAGCTTTCTCTCTCCATTCAAACTGACCTTTCTTTTATTAAGATGTGTTTAGAGAAAAGAATTCTACTCTCTACTCTTTATTTTTGCGTCTGGTTGACTATGCCTGATAATTTTGTGCAACCACTTAACTCTAATATATTCCCCATATTCCCCTTCCACCTGATGTAACTTTTTCATAGTTATGTATTACAAAGTTCACTAACCTGTTTTATCCCGAGGCGTAACTGGGGATCTGTGTTTCTGAATCTCTGATGCAGACATCAATACCTCTAAGCAAACCTTCTCTCAAATGCAGATAGACTACTCTTTCCTCAACTCAATGAACAAAGCTCCTTTGCCTCCTTTATTTTCTGCTTTATGATATCTGTTTATAATGTAAATGGTGAGAAATCCTAACTATCTTTCGTGGTGTTTAAAATGCATGCTGAATCTAAACTCACTCCAACTCTGCTAGTCAGAGGGTGAATCATAGCTGACCAGCCTGTTAACAGGGTTGGAACATACTGTGCCCCAAAATCTGTGCAAATCTCTTAAGTGGCTTCTTTTGCTCAAGATTGGCTATGTTTGGCTGCACAAAGTGGCTCTCTTTCACATTGCTGGTTAGTACTAGGTAGCAAAAGCACACACGCAAGCTCTAGAAGCCGTTCAGAAGCGCCCATCCTTGCACTCATGCAGTGCTGCACACGCATGTGGATGCAAGAGCTCTGGGCTGTCCTCTACAGACCTGCTGTCAGCAGGACCACTCTAGGAGCCTCTCACCTCTGATGTCCTCTCAGCCATCTGCATACAGCTGCTCCTATGGCCTGGGAAACTGATTCCAGTTAAACGTCAGTGGTTTTATGAAACAGACAAAAATGTGCTAATTCTGAGTACGGCCCAGTTCACTACTTGGCCCTGGGGTCTTAAGGCCCTAATTCAGGAGAATGCTTTGGTTTACCCCTTCTGTGCAAAGTACAAAAGCGTGTCCTTAACATCAAGCACACGCTGAAATTCTGTTGAAGTCATTTTGCAAGGGATGGAGTAAACCTAGCAAAGCTACAAACAGAACATTATTAAATTAAAATGCTAATTTTATCTCTTAGGTCTCTATTAATAGGTCTGGGATGTGACTTTCTACTGAAATGTTCCATTGAAAGTATAAATTACTTTGAAAGTCTCTATGAAAGTCTCCCTTTGCCCTTCTTCTTCTGCTATTTTCCATCAGCAATTCACCTCAGATAAAGCACTTCCCACCAGTTCAGAAATACAGCTGAGCAGCACCTTAATCTGCATTGTCTAAATGCACACAAGCTGTGTATTTCAGAAAGTGTTGCTACTTATTTTCCATTTCAGAACTGAAAGAAACTGAAAATAGTCACATAGAAGGTACCTAATCAGCTTGGCAGGACATCTCTGTGCCATGGAAGATTTATTCTTATTCTCTACAGCTCAAGCTGGGCACTCTAAGAACAAATGCAGTCTGGCTTCCAAACCCAGGAAGGCGTACAACCAAACATGGGTCGCACTTACTGCACTCTGGGGCAGATACATGTTGTTGATGTGTTTTACACCTGTCTGCTAAGGGTGACACTTGTTTGGAAAACTGCTTTACTGGAGGGCAACTCACTTTGATGCCTCCTGTGTTGAATCAGGGATATTTTGAGAAGGCAGTGGAGAAAGATGTCACATCCTCAGCTCTTGCTCTGATAGGCACAGGAATTTCTGGCAGGCTGACAGATGGCAGGTAGCACTCTCCCTCCCTGTAAAAATTGAATAATAAAGTAGTGGAGATTATAGCTACAGTATATCGCATAAATGCCAAATTCTTTGCCAGATAATGCTTTTTTTTTTTGTCCTAAATGGTCAGCAGGACCTAAGGAAAGAAGATTTAATATACATTTAATATACAATTGGTTCTCCTCTTCCAAGCCCAAAACATAGTAATGAACACAAAAGGCAAAACAACACAAAACAAAGGATTTTGGCTCTTGCCAAAAAAATCTTGTCCTGGGGGACACTGCTTTGTACTGCGAAACCAGTCTGTACAAATGAAGGCAAAGACAGAGATCTCTGCTCTCTAGGAGTTGGTGGGAAGTTTATCATTGCTTCCGAACCCTGGATCAGAGATCTGGATCTCTGGGATTGAAAAAGATGCTGAATGAAATAAAGCTGAAGGCACAATGACTGCCTAAGTCTGCACACAGCCTGACACAGTTAGCCAGCGCTGTGCCCACTGCCTGGCCTGTGGTATTTCATTAAAATAACCGTGGGTGTTAAAAGAGGAAAAGCTCTGTGCAACACCTTGGTTCACCTCGGTGGGCAGTGGAGGGAGAAGACCTGAAAGTGCTAAAGCCTAATTATTTAGTAATTATACTAAAATGATTAGAAAGACGCTGCCATAAATAAATTGAAACGGTAAGAAAGTTCACTGTTATAATTCACACATGACAAAAACAAAACAAAAACCAACAGTCCTGGCAGGTATCAGATTTGATCAGCAGCAATATGTACTTTTTCAAGGATTAGATATCAGTTTCCTCAGAAAATACTGGTGAGTTCTACAAGTAGAGACGGCGGTATGCCCTTCAGCACCTATCTGTCTTTATCAAACCACACCACTTGTGCAAAGCACGCTGGACACGTTTCCAGTGGACAAACTGCACGACGACACAGCCATGCTGAAACGGGTCAGAGGCTCCCGCGTGCTACAGTCTGTCCGAAGTAGGACGGGCAATAAAGAGGCTTGGGAAGGATCACAACTTCGATTCCTCTCTTCGGGAAGGGAGGCAGGCAGGAGGGCAGGGGGCAGACAGGGCCGGGCCGGGGGCGCGGCGTCTGCTCCGGGCGGGGGCGCAGCTGCCCCAGCCCCCGGGGCCGGGCCGGGACAGCGCGGTGATGCGGACGGCGGGGAGCGGGGCCGAGGGATCTCCGATCTCCAACCTCCCCCTCCGCCGCTGCCGCCGCCGCCACCGCATCGCCCGCCTCTGGTGCGGCGGGCCCCGCGCCCTCCCCTTCCTCCCCCCGCGACCCCCCGCCCGGCACGGGACCCTTTAAGAGGAAGAGGGAGTAACTGGAGGGCTTGGCCAGAGGATGGGGCCGCTCCCGCGAGGGCTATGGGACTGAGCCGCCTGGGTAAAAGAAGTTGAAAAATAATAATAGTAATACGCGAGTAGAAAAATAGCAGAAGAGTCGGGTATTTATAAAGAGAAAAAGAAGGAAAAAAAAAAGGGGGGGGGGGGGGGGGGGGGGGGGTGGAAAAAGGAGGAGAGAGGAGGGAAGGGGGGAAAAAAAAAAAAAAGGAACGCCGTCCCCAAATTGTGCCAGCTCCGGGATCGAGCAGGGATGGTGCACCCCGGCTGGGTCTGCCTGCTGCAGAGCCTCCTCCTGCTGGCCAGAGCGCGGCAGAGTCGCGGCCCCGCCGGCGCCTGCCCGCTGCGCGGAAAGGTAAGTGGCGAGCGCGGAGGTGGCGGGGGACCTCCTTCCCCCAGGGGCAGCTCGGGGTGGGGACGGCTCAGCTGCGGACGGGCAGTGAGGGAGCGGCGGGGCCCTGGGGTTCTGCGCCCGCGAGTCCAAGCACCGCCGCGCTTTGGCAGAGGGTGCGATGGGGGACTGTCGGCGGCTGCGCTTGCACCTGAATCCGCTCCCTGCGAGGAGCCGCCCCCAGGCCGACGGCGCTGCTGTAGAAGGAAGGTCCGGGAGCAGCGTGCTCCTCGTGGGGACGGCCGGTTGGCTTCCTGCTTCATCCGGGCGTGGTGGGACAGGTTCAGAACAGCAGTGCCAGTGGCCTTTCAGCAGAAATGCGGTGACGGGTTGTGTGGGGTGTTGTTTGTGCTCTCACTCCACCGGTCTGCGTGCTGTGAGCTGCACGGACTGCCCAGCCCAGGGGGGGAGAAGTGCAGCCGAGGGCTGCCTGCTGCTCGTGATTCTTAGGCCGATGTGAAGCCCGTGGGCAGATTGTCATGTCCGTTAGAAGTCAGACATAGGGAAAAAGCAGTTCTCGGTGAAGCTTCTGAGGTAAAAGCACAAAGAACCATATAAGAAAAGTCATCCTGAGCTTGCTGTGTGTTACTAGGTGTGATAGAACATCCCTGCTCTCTGTAGGCAGTGGACATGGAAGCGGCCTGTCACCAGAGGTGAGGGTGGCGTGTATTGCATTACTTGCTATAGAAGCATTTGAGTGGCAAGGGCCTCTTAAAGGCTGTCTGATCCAACTCCTCTGCAGTGAGCAAGGACACCGACAGTCGGATTGAGTGCTCAGAGCGCATCCAGCCTGACCTTGAGTGTCTCCAGGGACAAGGCGTCTACCAGCTCTCTGGGCAACCTGTACCAGCGCCTCACCACTCTTTTCATAGAAAAACTTATTCCTTATATCAAATCTAAATCTCCCCTCACTGAATTTGAAACCATTTTCTGTCCTGTCACAGCAGACCCTGCTAAAGAGTCTGTCCCCTTCCTTCTTATAGCCCCCCTTTAGATACTGAAACGCTGCTACTGGGTCTTGCCAGAGTCTTCTCTTCTTCAGGCTGAACAGTCCCAGCTCTCTCAGCCATTGCTCACAGGGCCGGTGTTCCATCCCTTGGATCACTTTATGTTTTTATGGCTGAGGTAAGGTGAGCCCCACCACCATGGCCACAAAGGGAGTCAGAAACCCTTGGAAAGAAGTGCAGCGGTGCTACACAAGGGAGGTAACAGAGTCTCTTTGCAGTATGGGAGCAGCGAGAAGGCTTGGTACTAACAAGAAGGCCTGGGATGCCTCACGACCTGCTCTTCCTCTCCCCATGCACCAGAACCAAGGCCTCAGGGCCTTGTGCCTCCAGCTGTTGGTACGGGGCCCCACTGCCAATGAGCTGTGGCACATCCTGTAACCCAGTGCTTAAGGCACTGCCACTGGAATGGTCTGTCTGCCTACATAGCTGCCCTGCCCATGGCAGTGAGATGGAACCAGATGGGCCTTGAGGTCCTTTCCAACCCACACCATTCTGTGATTCTATGATTTGGTTCTATAGGATTTATGAGAGTTAGTGGAAAAACTGAAAGTGAAGTGCTCCATCTTACAGTTAAAGCTGCAGTCAGTAATGAGTCTCATCGTTCTTTTTTCACAGCAAAAGAGAAAGACTCTAAAACAAGTAAGAATGTTGGAATCTGGTAGTACTTTCTTTTTTGCTTAACATCAGAGAACATTGGTAAATTTCAAGCCAGAATCCACAGCAGCATGCCAGTGGTTGTAGCTAGTTAATACTTCATGATGTTGTTCCTGTTAGGGAGTCAACCAATTTAAATAGCTGCTTTTCTCTCTTACATCTATCTTATATCTCCTAAGTAATGTCTCCTAATTTGTGGTGTCAGCCCACACCTTCAGCAGTGGATGTTGGTGCTACGGCTGTAGAGATTGAACCTTCCCACCAATATTCCATTACACGTTGTCGTGTGATGGATGGCAGCAGAAGAGCAGTCAGACAGAATGGTGTCTGAGTTGGAAGTGCACATGAAGCAAAAAGTGTGGCACTGAATTTCCTCCATACGGAAAAAGTAGCACCCACTGACATTCACTGGTGCTTGCTGAACATTTCTGAAGACCAGACAGTGAATGTGAGCACTGTGAGGCAGTGGGTGGTGTGTTTCAGCAATGGCAATAGCTTCAGCGAGTCACCACTGCTGGTGCAGATGTTTATGAGCATGGCATGCAGGTTCTTGTTCACCACTGATGAAAATGCACAGCTCATGGTGGTGACTGTAGTGAAAATCAGTGTTTTGTAACTGAGAATTTGCTTTAATGAATAGCGTTGCTATGCTCCTTGTTATAGTTTCAATGGAAATAAATAGGAGGCATTACTTTTGGAGTCACCTGTGAATTTACTTTGATAGAGCAAGTAATGTCTGCTGCAAATCCTTGACTTTTTAGGTAAAAATTCTTTTTTTTTCCTTTAAATTTTTGATTTTTCACTTCTGTCAAATGGAGACTAAATTGTGTTCCTTTAATAGTTGTAATAGTAGCCAGTGTAGTGTTTATCCCTCGGTGAGTTCTGCTTACAGTCTTAGCTGAGTTTTAGTGTCACTAATGTAAATGGGCAAAAGCTTAAGAGAGCTTAAAAATGTGCCTTACATTTCTTGGTGCATTACTGTTGCTGCATGGGGCGCTTTGTGTGGTGATTAAAGGCGCAATCTTTGCCGCAATTAGGTATAAATGGGTATGACAAGACACAACACCAAAGTAGATAATAAAGAGGGAGAAAGCCATATAGGGAGGGCTACAGCCTGCCTGCCTGGGTAAAACACTGCATGCCACATGCTCTGGCTTTTGTTGCAAGAAACATGTAAGAGCATTTTTTGGATTGAGAAACAGTGCAGTTCTGGTCTGCTGTTTGGAAGACTTAGATGTTGGGATGATTATGAGGGTTTGGCGTTCCAGAGGACTCTGAAGCACCAGAGGGCAGCTGCCTGCACAGCAAGTGATGTACTTTGTGGTGAAAAACTTGTAGTCAACATAAACAAGGATCAAAAGGTAGAAGGAAGCAGCAGTAATGCAACTTGCTCAGTCATCTGGGCAGACCTGAGGCAGGCTTCCTTGTGTCAGAAGTTTGCATCCAGTTCCTCACTCTTCAGACTGCAGCTGTCCTTCCCTTCAGATCCTCTGTTCCCTGGATCTTCACAACCTGTTCCTCTTAAAACTTTCATTTTTAAAATTCCCATCATACTGTTGCTCCTTTTCTGGAGTACTTTTTCAGAGTACTGTCACTAGAGGCATTCTTTGTTTCTCATGTTTTTCTTTGTGTTATTTCCTGGATGTTTACTGTTGTTTTTGACAGTCAGTATGTCATTTACCCCACTTTGAGCTCTTTTGTCAGAAGAAGAATAACAGATCCTATTTGGCACTTCTCTCCCAGAAGAATTATTGTTGCCTCACCTGAAGAGATTTCTGCATTAGCAATTTGTATACCTGAAGACTGCTTTCCTTGGTAGTCCTAGAAATGCTGCTGGAAAAGCAAGCTACTGAAGGTTGTTAAAATGAGCTGTATTGGAAGTTTGTTTTTTTTCTTCTTTTTTCTTTTCACAGAATCACAGAATGGCCCGGGTTGGAAGGGACCTCAAGGATCATGAATCTCCAACCCCCCTGCCACTTGCAGGGCCACCAACCTCCTGATTTAATGCTAGATCAGATTGCCCAGGACCCCATCCAAACCTGGTCTTGAACACCTCTAGGGATAGGGCATCCACAATCTCTCTGGGCAGCCTGTTCCAGAACCTCACCACTCTCACTGTAAAGAATTTTCTCTGAAAGGAGGAGGAAGAAACTTATTGGAAAAATAAAGAAAATACCTCTCAGTCTGAGCTTCTGTTCTGCTGAAGCAGAAAGAAGGAGGCAGGAGATAATGGGAGTTTCCAAGGCCACCAGTGGACAAACAGCTTCCTGTTTCAGGAAGGATGCTGGTATATTGGGCTGGATGCTTGGGGCTCAACTATCATTCCTTAACACTTCACTTCAGTCTCCCATTCCTCAAGCTTTTTTATTCTTTTCCAAACCCTTCCTGAGCCACTGAGGAAAACCCTTCATGTCCGCTGCACTTTTCCCTGGTTTTCTGCAATTCCTAATGCTTTTGTCCTTTTATTTGTGGAACCATTATCTGTCCTTAGGTGCACCACATTGCAGCTCAGAGTGGGTGCTTGAATAGTCATGGTGAGATGGGGCAGCATGCCTTTCCCCATCTCATAGCAGGGAGTGAATTCCATAGCGCTTTGTGTCTATAGGTCTATGTTTCTGTAGGTCCAGTGTTAGTTTGAGCATTTCCTTTCCCTTTCCATCCACTGTTTCCACCACCTCATAGTACTTCTTGTGCTTTCAGTTGTAAGAACTGAGCTAACTGAAGAAAAGCTTTTGCTTTTATTTTTTTATTTTTTTATTTTTTTGCATGTGTGTATGTGTGTTCAAACTTTTTGCTTGGCTGGAACCCTGAATCTGTTCACTGTCTGATCTTGTTCCCCTGGGAAGATGCTCATCATGCTGAACATCCAGAAATAATTGGATGTGGGGCTCCCTAGCAGAGATTAAACTCAGTCCTAGTGGAGATGTGTTGTGGCAGAGGGCATGTGCTGTGGCTCATTTGATATTGTCTGAAATCTCAGTGGAGCAGTGAATCAATAGGCCTCACATGGGACTACTGCACTCTTCCTCAGGCTGCCATCCAGTTCTCCCCTTATACCTTGTTTTTGCCATAGTGAAAAAAGTATTCTCTGCTACCTGTAAAATTTGGGAGTGGAAACAGATATACACATGGTGGTCTGTACATGAAGCTGCCTGTTTTCCTGTTATGCTTGTGAAAGTGAAATTCCTGGAGCTGCCAAACCCAGCTTTCTCTGCAGCCTCCAGGATACCACTTTCACTGTTTCATGCTCCTTTCTGAAGTAAAAGCTGTGTGGAAGGGTCCTGTTACAAACCAACAGTAGCCTTTATCTGTTGCATGCTCTCAGGAAAGTGAGGTGAGAAAGAGAGGCTGCCAGTGATGGCATACTCTGCAACGCTAAGCAAGCCTTGGCACTGCTCCTGCACTATCTCATAGCCACCTAACATGTAGCTAAAGAGCTCCCCTTTTACGGACTTGGGGAGAGATTATAGGCTTCCTTTCTCTGAAGCTGGATTGAAATGTGGTAAGCTCTAGGAGCTGCACCAAGTTGAAAATAGAGCTGTCCTTCAGCCTCTGCACTAGCTCTGCATAGTGCTCGTGAGCCCATACGGGTTGAGATGAAGACCCATCACTCTGGGATAGAGCAGCCTCTGGTGTGGAGCTGCATGCAGAGTGCCTGGCCATTCTGTTGAGTAAGATCTTGCTCACTACAATATGAGAGATAAGTTTTACTAGGTCTCAGCTTGCTTTCTTTTAATGCCTGTGCTGTAGACTCTACAGTGTGACCTGTTTGCTCTGTGCCTGGCTTGTGTGTTCTGTCATTGGTAGTGCTGGTAGCTGGTGGCATTACTCAGCTTGCAGTATGTGAAGCAAAAGCTGTGGTGATATGCAGAGCAAAAGACTTGGGAGTGCAGTGCCAAATACGTTCTAGCTGGGTTGTATACAGTGATCTGGAGCAGAAACGACACTGCCAGATACCCTTTGTTTGGGCTTGAGCCTGCTAGGTGGCTCTGTGCAGGAACTGGACTGAAATGTAAGAGGGCTGGTGGCCATTTGTTCCTTGTGATTTCTTTTGCTGCGTATACATGATCAGACTTGCCTGAAGTTGTGTTGACCTCACAAACCTCATTCCTGTCCCAGGTGCATCTTCTGCCTTCTTTCGTGCTTGTAGGTAAAAAAAAAAAAAACAACAGTACTGCTGGTCATTTCTTCCTGCTGGCTGCTATCTACTTGTTTTTCTCACAGCAGAGATACGTCCTTCCATTTTCCCTCCTGCAAAAGGCAGGAGTGAATTCGGCCTGGTTTCCCTTCTTGCTTTCCTGTGTGCATTCATTTTTTTTCATGTACTTTCTGGGTTTGTGTTGGATTCATACTCTATCCTGTATTCTTTTTCCCTCCTAGTGCTGTGTATCATTCATTCTTTTCTACCTGTGGTCTCCAGGAATATTTTTATGGTCTGTGATTTAGGAAAGTGTTCCAGGACTGTCTGTTTGGTCTCTTTGCAGAGATGTATCTTGTTACCCAGACTCAGGTCTCTGAGGTATCTTACAGACCTTTAACGTGGCACAGCATTGTCTGAAGACTGCTTGGTGTTTACTTATTTGTCAGTGTGCTGGCAAGCCATATTGGCAGCAGCACTTCGCTGAAGTGCTGTCTGATCCATGGCTTAGACTCAATGTGGAGTTCTGGAAGAAGATTGTCTGGGATCAGCCATTGCAGAGCAATCTTTTAAGATTAACCTTCCTGACCCTTGTTCTTTAGCATCAGAAAGTTATAGGCAGTGTGTTTCCAATAAATTCCTCCAAGCAGCCTGTTCTGCATTTGGCAGTCAGGCAGGTATCTTAGATGAGCACACATGCACAGTTAGCCTTGGAGCTGAGGTTAGAGTTATATGCGGGCTAAAGACTGACCAGATGTTTGAGCGCATCTGGAAGCCTGTCCTCCTTCTTAAATATGCAGAGGCGGTATACCTCTTCTGGTCTGCTCAGGGAGATACAAACTGTGTCCACTCAGTAGGGATCACTGCACCTGTGATGGGAGTCATGTCTGCTGATGGTGTAAAATGACTTCTGGGATCTGGGCAGGACCCATTTTTCCTATCTGCTCTACTGTCCTGGGGGACACCCCACACTGTGGTGTTTCTGGGGTGGTGTGAAGCCCATCTTGCAGTAGAACAAACACAGTCTGATTCTGACTTGCTGATAGCTGGGAGGTTTGGGGAGACTTTTCTATAAGCTAGATCTAAAGAAAGAGGTTTTCTATTGCCTGGGACCACAGACTAAATATGGCCTGCAGAGTTTCTTCCCTTGTTTTTCTAAGGTATTGAATGTGTTTTTCTCCTCCATAAGAAAAAAGGCGAATTGATCTGAGGAGCCTTGTCTACATGTCTGTCTGCCATGTGCCACATTCTTGAAAAACTCCAGTCCTAACTGCTCCAGCAAGAATTTCTGCCATGTAGTAGTTGGTGTTAATCATTTGTTTAGTTCTTGTTCAGTGGAAAGTTATATAAAGGTGCCCTCTGACTGTGTGTCATGGCAGCTTCCTTATGGGAAGGGTCTTTGCTGTGCTGACACAAGAGGCGCCAAGGTGAAGGTGATTGACAGCCTGACATTTCAGCAAAGTGACAGCAACTTTTGACTTGATGAAAGATGGAAGTCAGGTAAACATTTTGCAGAAGCATAGCCTGCTTGGGCTGTGCTGTTGCTGCTTTTGGCAAATACTGGGAAGATGAGCTGGGATGATGTTTCTTTTGAGAAGCTATGACATTGTCTTTCAGGAGAAAGCCAAAGCCACACTTACTTTTAAGTAATGAAAGGTGCTTTTAATTAATGAAAGGTTAATTTTGACCTCAAGGCCTGAGAAGAAAGATACTGAAGAAGGACTTGTTGTGTGTGTGTAGCCTCTTTAGTTAATGTACATGCTGGCAAGCTGCAGAACCAGGTGACCTGCTGGGTTGGCAAATTGTTTCCCTTTAGCCTTCTACTCAGTGCCTGTTGTGAGTGTTTGCATATACTCAGCTGTATCTCCCTCTTCCCTGGCAGACTGAACTGAACTCCTTTCTGTGGACCATCAAGAGAGATCCCCCATCTTACTTCTTTGGCACCATCCATGTCCCATACACCCGTGTCTGGGATTTCATCCCAGAGAACTCCAAGAAGGCCTTTCAGCAGAGTCACATAGTGTACTTTGAGCTGGACCTCACCGACCCCTACACCATCTCTGCTCTCACCAGCTGCCAGCTGCTGCCACAGGGGGAGAACCTTCAGGATTTGCTGCCCCGTGACATCTACCGCCGGCTCAAGCGGCACCTGGAATATGTCAAACTCATGATGCCATCTTGGATGACACCAGACCAGCGGGGCAAGGGGCTGTATGCAGACTACCTCTTCAATGCCATTGCTGGCAACTGGGAGCGGAAGAGGCCAGTGTGGGTGATGCTGATGGTGAACTCTCTGACGGAGGTAGACATCAAGTCTCGAGGAGTGCCCGTCCTGGATCTGTATCTGGCCCAGGAAGCAGAACGGCTTAGGAAGCAAACAGGCGCTGTGGAGAAGGTGGAGGAGCAGTGCCACCCACTGAACGGGCTTAACTTCTCCCAGGTGGGACAGAGGCTTGCAGGATGGCACAGGGCACTGGGCTGGTTGCTGGGGCAGACGTGTAGCAAGCAGGAGCATGGGAATTGGCCTGGAGTGAGTGCTGTCCGTGTGTGGTACCTGGAGTCTTGCACTTGCTGCCTGCACCCCTTGTCTCTTTGTATACCTGTGGGAGAATCTGCTTAGCTGTAGGAGTTCAGGCTGCCTCCTCAATTTGTTTAGACCTGGCCTGAGGAGGTCCCTCTCCTCTTCCCTGGAAAGCCTTGGACTGACTCCACCCCAAGTGACACTGGACCCTTGGATCTGCTCTCTGACCCTGCGAGGCATTGTTCATAGTAGGCACCAGGGGCAGGTTGGGACTCCTTGTCTAAACTTGCTTTTGTATTAGCTAGGTAAGGAGAAAGATGTAATTACCTGGGGGAAGGAGGGGCATTGTCAGTGAAGCTGGGATGTACTACTGTTTGGAAAAGTAGCTCAGCTGACCTCTCCGTACCCTGAGGAATAGGGGCTCATCCTCTGTATTAGAGTTATTTTATTTATTTATTTTCCTTCCTTTGAAGCCCGATGAGGGTCAGCAAAAACACCCCCCTCCCTCTCCCCTTGCCAGCCTCTTTGGGGAGCTTCATGGATTAGTACAGGCTCTTCTGTGCTTTCAGACCAGCTGGAATTTAGTACCAGTGTACATACAGTGCCACACCAGGCAAGCCAAACAACCTCAGGTCACTTGTGAGGTCTTCAGTCTGGACTAACTGCCAGGGCACAGTTTGTGTTGCAGCCCCCATCCTAACTGGTGGGAACACAAGTATCCAGAATGTGGTTCTGTGGGATGGGAAGAGCTGAAGTCAGGGTGCTGTCCAGCAAGGGCAGGGACAGCAGTTTGGGGTTAAATACCTGCAATCCCATCTAGTCTTCTCTGGTTCCAGCAGTGCAGAGAGCAGTGGGTACATCACTTGCACAATCCTAAGCTTCAAATGCGTCACCTTCACTTCCATCATTTGGAGCTGGGCAGCTTCATGCTTCTGTTCAGCCTTGCTTGTCTGTGCTCTGAGACCTTGCGCTCTTGCTGTCTGCTTTCAGCTGAGGCAGTCTCATCTTCTCCACCTCCTGTCTGGCTGAGGCTTTATTAACATTGCTGCCTGTATTTTTCTTCTGCTGACATTGTCCCTGTGGTTTAACATGATAGGAAAGGGGGCTACATGCTTTCTGCTCTGCCTTACAAGGTGGTGACAGCAAGTCTGAAAAACATAGGTTGCAAATCATGGCCTGGTTAAGCCTACGCAACTGTTGACATTTACTTTGGGCTTTCATGCAGCTTTTTTCAAAGAACAGCTGTTGGTGTGCTATTTTCCTAGCAGAAAAGTATCAGCTGGGAAGTCAAGTGGGGTGGGGTTGCAGAGCTGCGTCACCCGGAGTTGCCTAACCTTGCAGCATTTATTGTGCATCTTTTGAGACTTCAGAGCCCATCTGAGGGGGGACAGGGTAGCCAGAACTGCAGAGGAAACATAGCCTTTGTGAAAATTACAGACTGTGATTACCCCATAGTAACTGGGGATGTGTATACAAGATGCTACTCCTCCCATGCTTGCTGTTAGAACACAGCAGCTCATTTGTAGGGAGAAGGAGCAAGTCTGGAGCAGCTAATGCACTGTAAATTCACTTCCTTCTGCTTACTGCCAGCTTTCCCATACAAGTAATGTTCAGGAAAAAGAGAACCACAGTCTATTGTTTTTTATGTTTCTAAGCAAATGCCATGGTTGTTTCACAACCTGACATGTGAACTGCTATGGTTGGCAGTTCTGTAAATTTAAAAGAGCTTTTTTCTCAGTTTGTTCAAGCAGTTAATTACATGTTTAATATAAATCAAATGAAGACTTTGAAATAGGCTCTTTGAAAATGATTTCCTTTGTTTTCATGCCACTATCTGGGAAGCCCTGGTATCAGACCACTACTGTCTGCCTTTCAAGTAAGCAGCAGACACCCAAAGATGACATATAAAGCTCTTTTGAGGAAAAAGCTCTTTTTGAACTCTACATCCCCCGGCAGCAGAAATTGAAGAAAGGAGGCAGGCGACCAGTGTGGCTGAGCAAGGACCTGCAGCTTAAACTGAGAGAAAACAGGGAAATGTACAGAAAGTGGAAGCAGGGTTGTGTAGCCTGGGAAGAATAAAGCAACATTGCCCTCGTGTGTAGAAATAAAATCAATAAAGCCAAGGTGCAGATAGAGCTGAACTTGGCAAGGGATGTGAAAAATGACAAGGGGTTCTTTGGGTAAATAAGCAGAAGAAGATGAAGGAGAGTTTTCGCCCTCTGAGAAAGAAGGACGGAGAACTGGCTTCCTCAGACATGGAAAAAGCTGAGGAGCGCAATAAGTACTTCTCCTCGGTCTTCACTGATAGTCAGGCTCCTCCACATGTCCGCCAGGACCCTGAAGCTCTAAATGTGGGTGAGAGCAGTGCATTCCATCCCACTGTAACAGTGAGACCGATGCTCTTCAACATCTGCATCAGTGACATAGATGTTGGCATCGAGTGCACCCTCAGCAAGTTTGACATCAAGCTGAGCTGTGCAGTCAATGCATCTCAGGGAAGGGAAGCCATCCAGAGGGACATGGACAGGCAGGAAAAGTGGGCCTATCAGAATATTATGAGGTTCAGTGAGGCCAAGTGTGGGGTGCTGCACTTGAGGGCAATTCCACGTATTTATAGAGACTGGGTGAAGAACCTCATGAGAGCAGCAAGAAAGACTTGGGGGTTCTGGTAGACAAGAAGGTGGACATGAGCCAGCAGTGTGCACTCGCAGCCCAGGAGGCCAACTGTGTTCTGGGCTGCATTAAAAAAGGGGTGGCCAGCAGGGAGAGGGAGGTGATTGTCCCCCTCTACTCGGCTCTTGTGAGGCTCCATCTGCAGCACTGCAACCAGGCCTGTGTCTCAGGACAAGAAGGATGTGGAGGTCTTGGAGTGGGTCCAGAGGAGGGCACTAAGATGAGCAGAGGGCTGGAGCACCTCTCCTGTGAGAAAAGGCTGAGGGAACTGAGCTTGCTTGACTTGGAGAAGAGAAGGCTGTGGGAAGACCTCACTGTGGCCTTCCAGTACTTGAAGGGAGTGTACAGACAGGAGGAGGAATGGCTGTTTACCAGGGTGGACAGTAACACAGGAGGAGGTTGGAATGAGATGATCACTGTGATCCTTTTCAACCGAGGCCATTCTGTGATTCTATGTACTCGTTTATAAAGTTGAAACCTGTATCATTTGAAATTTTTTTTTCTTTTTTTCTTTTTGCCAAATGAACTCTCAAAAATTAGGTATTATTTTAGAAAGCCCTACTTACTGACCCAGTGTCATTTTGAATATTCAGGTTTATATTGCCACCATCTGGGGTTGGCAAGACCTAAAAATGCCACTAATAGGCATCACAAATACCTGGGGTGCTCAGAAGGACAGTAGCCTGGGTTACTGTTCTTGCAGCTGCCATAGGCTTCACGTGCTCCAGATGACAATGACTGATAGATTACACTGCCAGTACCTGTCTGTGTTAGGCTCAATATTAGACACAAAATGCCTCAGTTGCTTTTGCAAATTAGTTTCATGGACCTGTTCACAAGATGAATACTCCCATCAACATAAGATCACAGAACTTCAGTTCAAATACAACATATTACGGTTTATTAACAAGTCCAAATACATGCCTATATAAGCTATTTTGTCCTAATCAATAACTCCTTAGAAATACCAGAAAGTAGGAAACAGAGGTTTAACAGAGCCCATGGCATACAGCAAAGCTTTCAGAAGTGGAGCAACAAGGGCGCTGTGAAAGTTCCCACACTTGGAAAAAACCTTCCAACCACTGAATTGCTCTGCAGCACAACTGCACAAACTATGAACCAACCTTTCAAAGATTTCCCTTCTAGCTGTTAAGTTCTGCAGCTGACAGACTGCCACTTTGTCTTGGCTGGAAGTGTCCCAACAGCTGCAGCAATTCATCTCTTTGCACCATTAGATTCAGTCTGCCACCAGGCCTCAGCTGGAAGTTTTCCTTTGGAGGATGCTGGTGTGAGGTCCCTATCCATCTTGTGGCATTTAGCAGAGGATTGCAAAAGGAGGTCTTTCCTTCCCAAGTTTTATTTTCTCTTCCTCACCGGCCTTGCTCTTCAGTTCAGCCTTGGACATCTGGCGGGAGCTTGCAGAAGAAAGCTGTTATCTTCTGGGTTTAGTTTTCTATTCCACCTCATCCTCACCGTTTTATCCAGCCTTAGACATTTTGCTGGAGTTCGCCAAACACGTTTGACATCTTCTTGCTTAGTTATCTCTTCCTCCTCAGCCTCACCATTTCATTCAGTCTTGGACATTTTGCTGGAGGCTCCCAGTTGAGGCAGGACTTTCCTGCCTTTTTCTTAGTGTGGAGCACCAAGTCATGCATTCTTCAGGCTTAGCAGGACAGCACCCAACAGTCCGCAGCCTTGGCCTGAAGCTTTATAGCATCCGTTGTGTTCCAAGAATCCATGGCAACAGTTGGCGTGGTCTGCTGATATCACCACCTGCTAGGTGTGACCGTTCAGGCTCTGATCTGACTGCCTGCTGCTCCAGTCCAAACTCTAACAGCTTCTCTAGGAAGAGCCAATGGGTAACGGTGCTGCAAGAGTTCCTCAGGAGCAGGTAGACACAGCTATGCACTGCTCTCTCCTGAATGAGCAACATTCTCTAGTGTGGCTCTCAGGTTTGCACACTGGGGTGCAAACCTCATCACCAGAGCCCATGGGTTTCTCTCTGTCCTCTGTCTCAACTGTTGCCTGACACAATGGATTGAGTTTACATGCCAAGGTTTTGCAGCTGGACTGTCCTCTGTGAGAAGGGTTTGCTTAGGTAGAGACAGCGTCCAAAGAAAAGCAAAACACGTGCCATGATACCTTCACGCCAAGAGGGGACCACGTATATGCAGGCTGCACGAAACAGAACCTTCAAATGCTATTTCACAGCACTGCAACAGCACCTGGACGGAGCAAAGGGCTGT